TGATGTAACAATGCATCATGGGACGTCTTTGGTAAAGGCGACCCGGCATCTTTCACAGATTCAAAGGACAAACATATCTGTACTCACCTTTGCTACAGTCCGACCCAGTCCATCCTTCAGCACAYGTGCACGAGTTAGGCCCGGTGCATTTTCCATTGTTTTTACAAGGTCGTGTGCAAGTTGCTGTAAATCAAACAGTAAAGCAATTACATTTGATATGAATGTAAAAAGTCAAGGCAAATGACAGGGTCACGGTAAAGAGCAAATGGTGCATTTTCCATTGGTTTTACAAGGTTGRGTGCACGTTGCTGTAAATCAATCAGTAAAGCAATTACATTTAATATGAATTTAAATCTTCATCAAGGCAAGCGACAGGGTCACGGTACAGAGCAAATAGCTTCCGTTCCTTTAGTAATACACCCTAATAGACCGTTTTCTCAAGGTTGCTTGCACATCCAAATTTAAGAAACTTGACAGGCCATGATACCAGAACAGGAGCTTTATAATGAGAATTATCATACACCTCTATGAGATTTTTCGATAGGAATTCAWAAAATCGATTATTCTTATAAAACGGGCTTCTCAATTTACTGAATTTGCGTTTTTCAGTTTTGTGGCCCGTCAAGTTGGCGGGATGCTCACGCAATCTCGAGAAAACGGTCTATAGATCTCTTGTTTTCTCTTCTCAAACCACGTGTCATTCTCATGAAAATAATATTCTTTGTTTGGGTTGCACCCATATCTATGTGTCTTCCCATGCGCAAAAACAAAGAAATGATGCTCTAGGGAATGACACGTGGTCTGAAATGGGAAAACATTACGCCCAACCTAAGGTGTCACATGGATACGGTGCTTCTAATATTCATCGCGGAAAATATTATTCTTTGTTTGGGTTATACCCATATCCATGTGTCTTCTCATGTGCAAAAACAAAGAAATGATACTCTAGGGAATGACACGTGGTCTGAAATGGGAAAACATTACGCCCAACCTAAGGTGACACATGGATACGGTGCTTCTAATATTCATCGCGGAAAATATTATTCTTTGTTTGGGT